TTCCAGGGTTTAGGGTTTAGGGTTCCAGGGTTAGGGTTGAGTTTGGGGTTCAGGGTTCCAGGGTTTAGGGTTTAGGGTTCCAGGGTTTAGGGTTTAGGGTTCCAGGGTTTAGGGTTTAGGGTTCCAGGGTTAGGGTTGAGTTTGGGGTTCAGGGTTCCAGGGTTTAGGGTTTAGGGTTCCAGGGTTTAGGGTTTAGGGTTCCAGGGTTTAGGGTTTAGGGTTCCAGGGTTAGGGTTGAGTTTAGGGTTTAGGGTTCCAGGGTTTAGGGTTTAGGGTTCCAGGGTTTAGGGTTTAGGGTTCCAGGGTTTGTGGTTTAGGGCTCCAGGGTTAGGGTTTAGTTTAGGGTTTAGGGTTTAGGGTTGCGCATTCATTCACTGTAAATGCCCACACTTCCCAAAAAAGAGCAGGCCCGTCCCCCGCCCTCCGCTTCACACGATCATCAATGTAGAGCTTAGATGAAAGACCGACAGCATAAGACCAGTTGCGAACCCCTCACACCCTCAAGCCTAAATCGAAACCCTCAGCCACTGCCGGCTGGGTGTGGGGTGTACGGAGGTTTGGAAAATGGGTGCCCGGGTACAGGTTCAAGCTTTCCCAAACTTTGGTGGACCTTTTCCTGGGTGTTTCATCGGCCTTTCGCAGCGACGTTCACTTTTTGCTTTGTCCTACCTCATGTCTGGAAAGAGTACATAAAAGCCAGGATGGTTCGTCCAAAGTCTGAGAGGGAAAACCGTGTCCTTTGAGGCATATATCGAAGCCTCCTAGTAGGACCCTGCTGGCCTACAAGCCTCAAGCCTTACTTCAACCATGGAATCTCAACCAGGAAGAAAGATAAAAAGGAGCGACCATGTGGTTAAAAGAGATCCCTAAGTTCCTTAGTCAGGAGTATGGCGCTAAGTTCCTTGTTCAGCCTATCACAGAAGAAAGGTATTCCAGTAGACAGAAAGTGCGGATTCTTGCTGAAGTATCTAGGTGCAATTTCCCTCCCCTAAGCCCTACCTGGAGCCGGCCGGTCCTGCCTTTTTAGGTCCCCTAGAGAATCGTGAACCAAACACGGGTCATATTTATAAGCAAGGGTCAAAGCCAATATCCAAGCTTTCGGGTTTCGAGGAAATTTAGGATAGTCTAAGCGGAGTGGGTTATTGACCAGATACCGGGAAGTTAAAATGCTTTGCTGAAGGAATTCATGATACAAGCCCCGCAGTACGAACATTATGCAATTGCTTAAAACATCGGAAAATCCCAGAAGATGCCCGAAGAGCCCAACCCCAGCCTGACGACCCACCGTCTCTTCATTTTCATCGGTCATCGTGGACATCGAGCCCATCAAGCAGATCGAAAGTGCTGGGCGCTCAACATCTGGCTGCTTCTAATTAAGACTATGTAAGCTAAGGATAATTAAGGGCCTGAGGGTGAGCACAAACACACACGTATATATAACCACATCGACATGTATATACGGAATATATATATATATATACACATGTTCATTGAAGTTGTTTGTACTTTTTGTGTTGATACATGTTAAATGCATGTGAAACAAACTAGCTTTTAACATGGCTGCACGTTTATATAGCTTGTATATGTGCAACTGTTCCAAAACGTGCGCACACAAACGACACAGATATGGCTTGGGGCTTCTGCGTAGATAGATCTCGTTTGTGGTGGTATTTACTCGGTTTTTTCCGTAACACATGCATACAACACGTGTACTTAGGTGTCGGTATATGCTACTGCTACGTCATGTTTGCATACGGATGTGTGTCAGTGTGAATGTGTGTATGCATGTATGTATGTGTGTGTGTATATATATATATGTATATGTATGTGTGTGTGCACCGTGTGAACATGTGTGTAGAGGTGTGCCGAGGTGTACTTATACGTTCACAAAACGAACATATCTATTTAACGATGCAAACCTGCTCGCCCAAGTAAACCCATAGATATGTGTAACTGCATGTGGATACACATACACACACACAGCCGTCCAAGGTATGAAAGATCATATGGCGCAAAAGACTTCCCACACACAAGCATGTATGCAGAAATTAGATTCGGGTATTTAGAAAGAAGTACTCAAAATGTGTGGCCGATACATACAGGCATACTTTCTCACAATCGTGTACCCGAATGGACACGTCGAAACCCACGGATACATACTCCTACCTTGGGACTGTTTTGAAGAACGTGAAAACTAGAGGTCATGGACAAATACGGGGTCGATAATGTTTTGCGGGCTTTGACTCAGACTTTGAGAGGTCCGGCTCTGTTCATGAACCATTTGTTTCAATGTGTATGACGAATAATTATGAAAGGAGCACACTACATAAAACTGTATGTACAACGGCTCATGATGCAGACCCAGCACTTTACTCTTCGTCAGCTGCCTGATGGCTGGCTAACAGGCTTCTCTGTAAAACTCTCATGTGAATCTTGAGCACATGTACCCTGCGAGATAAACGGCAGGGCTTTCCAATGTAGTCTTCCTGCTGCTGGTTAGCAGTGCTGAGAGGGTTCATGATCCAGCTGCCCTTTGCAGCCTCTTGTATCATCTGAAGTGCACAGTGTGCCAGCATGTGGCTTTTCGGGACCATGGGAAATCTGTTCATGCCTCTCTTGACAGCTTCGCAAGCACATTCCTGGTATATCAAAAGAAACGATTGCAGCATCAACCCCAGTCGCTTCCCCCGCAGTGAAGGCACCCAGAAGCCCTCGGAATAGAGCATCGCTATGAACACATTGATGAAGCGGGTGCCCCTCGCCTTTGTTTCCCAAATAACTCTGGGGCGCAGCACAGGTTGCTAGAGTTTTTTTTTGTTCCCTACGTTAAACCCGAATTGCTTTACACACCCTGGTAAACATAAGTTGTATGTTGGCAATGCAAGAGGCGATCCCGGAAAAGATCTTATCCGGAGTCCTCTCGTTGAAGTCGAATCTCTCGCAAAAGTCCTGCAAGTAGAGCATCGTTTGGGTGGACACCTCTGCTTTGCTCCACAAGCCTTGCGGGTAGGAGGCGAAAGAGTCCAGGCTGAGGTTGTCTCGCGTAAACTCTGTGAGAAACGGTGTGATATTGACTCGCTTGCAATAGCTCCGAAAATCAGCTGAAATCCACTCCAGCTTCTTCTCGATCGACCGTGCTGGGATCAAGCCCTCTTCAAAGACAAACATGACCAGTGCATTCGCCACCCAAAACTTGGCCAGGCCGTTATGAAAGTTATGCCAGAAATCTGTCATGAAAAATGCTTCGGGCTGGTCTGGCAAGCACGGAATCGCCGCCAGGACTGGCGGCTCCACATCCCATGGCCGCTCTTCAAAAAGTGTCTTTGTCCAGGCCGCCCCAGGCCTGAAGTCTTCAAATGGGACCCGATGAGGAAATTCTTTGCCAGCTGAACACATCCAACATATGCCCAAGCATGGCTTCTTGGACTGCTGCTTCTTCGGGACTCTGCTGTAATTGCGCACAAAATTACCAATCTTGCCCAGGGCGGGTAAATCGCCCTTGATGGCCAAGATTTGGACCCAGAGCCGCTTGTCTCCACACTCACTTGTAACACCCTGGGTGGCCAGATCGGTCATGTCAGAGCCAAAAGCAGCCATGAGCTTGTCCAGGCACGAAGCATCCGCATTGATAAGGCTACGCAAAAGGCTGCCAATAGTAAAATGTGTCTTCCAAGTTGAACCAATATAGTTCGTGCCCATGGGGTCCTGTTTGATGTGAGGCTTGCGAACACATCGTTTGACAGAGCTACGTGTTCCCTTTCCGAGGCAGCCATGCACAGACAGTATGAGCAACGCTTTGCTCTTGTAGGTCCGGCCTTCATCCACATGTGCAAAAACCGGCACAGTTCTCCGCAGCTGCAGAGTCTGGTTCTCTGAGAGAACAAACACCTGGTGCTCCGGGTAGAGCGCCTTGTAGCGCTGCCAGAACTCTTCTAGCATTGGCTCCATTTCCTTCTCGGGAACACCAACCAGTTGCTCAAGCTTGTCGGAATCCAAAAGGTACTTCGCCCATGATGAAAACTTCACCACAGGCAGTTTCTTGAGCTCCCCTTCATTTCCAGCACAGATGGTATCTATCGCAACAGGCACAGTCAAACCGTACTTGTTGAAAAGTTTGTGACAAGCCTCCTCCGCATCTTTCTCGCGGATCTTTGAAAACTCTATCAGAGCAGGCGGCAAAAGATGCACATCATTCGGTGAGTCCTCAACAGCGGCCTTGGCCATCTCCACAGCGTGGCTGCATGGGGCCTTGGCAAGCCGGAGCATTTATCTGACTGGGAAGGACATGTGTGCAACACTTGCAACACTGCAGAAAGCAATGAGGACCAGTTTTCGCTTTCATCGACGAACAAACCCCAATCTTGCAACGAATGCAAAAAGCTGTTTTGTTAACAGCGAAACTGAATTTTCGAACCTTGCAAGCTGGCCCTATCCCACTCTACAGTGTTGATCAGCTCGACCCCCAGTTACGTATGCGTAGTATGGGGGCACAGTGGATACCCTGTTCAAGGCACCTTCCCCTCCACTACCAGGTGTGTTTTGGCACCCGGAGCAAGAGTGAAACAAGCTGACGAGAGCTGCTTCCAGCATATGGATTTCTTGCACATTAGATCCACAAAAGATAACCCACATAGCTGTGAAGTTCTTTCGCTTGTAATCCACATAGCGGACAACCGGGTTCGAGGTTACCCCTACTTTGAAAACACAAAGACTGATGCTCATCTGCTCTCGGAAAGACATAACTTGTTGCACACAGTGGGACAGAATTCGTCCACTGCAGGGCGTGCTGGGTCGCAAAGGCATCAGGTGTTTGTACAACCCGAACTTCTGAACCTGTTGCCATGGCATCGAAGCCGGATCAGCAGTAGCAGCGATTTTGTCCAGGGCTGCGACTGTAGCATCAACCTAAGATGTCCCGTGCCAGAGCAGGGAAGATCTAATGACAACAACCCGGTCGTTTAGCCATGTTGGCCTGTAGGTTTTTGATTCTTTGCAAGATTCCGGGGCACCCAGAACACAGTCCTGGTACCCAAACAGCAATTGAAACTGGCCGCTGCCCAGTTGCTGGCACCTGGTCTTCAGTGTCGCCTCGATCCCTTGGAGCTGTCGGGGCCACAGGCACCGGATGATTCCAGGACTCAGTGCACAAACCCCTTGGATGCACAATGCTTACACTTTGTGGGTTTCGGTTCTGTTTCCGGAAACATCATTAATGTATTCTACTAGGTTGGCAAAGAGAAAAGCGCAGAATAAAATGGCTTGCGAGTGTCTTGCAGGAATAAACATTTTCCTGACTCCCTGTCTCAATCAGTGAGGCTTCAGCAGCACAGCGTTTCTTACCATTAGGGGCCTCGTAGGTGATCAAATCCAAGAAATCTTCCAGTGTCTGGCCACGAGAGTAGGCCATTGCTTGTCACTCACAAAGTACCCCGCCCTTGTAGCAGCACAGCTCCCTAGAACATTGTTGTTGTGCGAAGTTTGCAAATGTAATAATTAATCAAAATTACTTCATGAAGTTGCTTTCTAGGAGGACCGGACACGAGGGACAGTCATAACACCACATTGGCCACGGCTGTCATCTCACACTGCAGCTGTGTACGAACCTTGACACAATGTGCTCATGGTGTTGTAAGTCTGAACAGTTACAGCTGTGACAGTTGCTTCTGATTGTCATGCCCACAGCAGCTGCGTGAAGACTGTAGAAGCACTGCGTGCCCACATATAGATCCTGAGGCTGAAGCTCCTCGAGCCACCTGCTTCGCCAGCTTCCGAACCACAGCACCTGGGTCCCAACCTGGCATGCAGTGACTGATATCTGCTGCTGGAGTTATATACTTCGGCTTTTGTGTGATCAGGGCAAGATGGGTTTCTTTGGAGAGATAAAGTACTATCTTGGAGAGAACAAGGACACATGCAGGCTCTGATGTTCAGCTAACCTGTCAGTCAAGAAATTACATAGCTTGTGTACTGTTTGTGTTAAGTTGGCATCTACCTGCACGTTTTCAGCGTTCGCATGGGAAGGGGGGGGGGGCATCGCTCAGCCTATATCTTTTCGTGTCCTCGCGACAAGTAGTGCTTTCGATCGCCGCAAGAAACCAAGCTTCTACTGAAAACCCCCTGGGAACTTGTGAGCAGCGGCGCTGCTGCTCCGGCACAAATAGGCACACTGCTACCAAGAAAGCAGCTTGAGGCTAGTTTGAGATATTCCCATCGGTTCAATAGTTCGGGATCCTCTAGACTAGATGGGGCTGAGGGACCATAGAGACCATTCCAAAGTACGATCGTTTATGTTGCTGGCGAACATCAGCTACCAAACAAGGAGGCAGTGTAGCTTATATATGTGCCGGAAAACCCTTGTAGCACCAACTGGCAGATGAGCTGGTGTTCTCAGCCAATCTTTGCATGAGATCGTTTCCCCGCAACCTCTGCACACTGGCACTCCCCAGAAGAGGATCAGCCATACAGCGATTTGAGGCTTCTCAGAAGGGTCCTTGGTAGGCAGCTCAACATGTAAACAAACAAGGTCTTATGGGGCCCATGAAAGAGCTGATTGCAACTGGGTTTCTTCCCTGCAGACTCTGATGTAGTGACCTTGGTACACCTTGGATAACGCAGTGCATACCTGATAGGACAAGCACTGATTGCGGTTGCACGATGTGACAGTTCCTGAAAAACACCAAGAAGTTGTGCATTCGAGAAACACCGCGGTAGACAGCTGAGTCTGCTTGGCAATCTTGGATTGAAACCTAGGCTGCCCAAGATGTGTGGACAACGAGATGAACAAGTGCCATCTCGAGGCCACGCAAAAGATTTTGCTGCACATGTGCATGTCTTTGACATGAGTATTTTGCAAGTACGTGACTCCTTCTCCTCGGTCACGGAAAGGTCGCGGCCAGGAATCTCGGCCCGGAGGGACTCCACCTTTTCAAACTCAGTGTGAAGGATCTCCACTGCGTGTTCGAGGGATTTGTCGCACCTGAGCAGCTGTATTAATCATAAGGTTGCCACAGGACAGAACACAGGACACAAACACAAACGAACAAATGTGGACATACAGTGTTAACTGCAGGGGCAGAGCTTGTCGATCTTCTTGATCCTGTTCTCGTCGGCTCCCTCTTTGTAGGTGCCGAGACTACTTTGCAGCTCTGACACTTTCGAGGCCCGTTGGAGCAAGGACTCACCAAACTTCTTGAAGGACTTCTCCTCCTGATCATATAGATGAACAAGTAACTTCCATGGTTTTCACGACATGTATGATGAAGCCGGCCACCCAATGAAACCCCGGAGGATCCTGCTTGAAGGCCGTAATCTCCACCGCTGTACCCTTGCCCTATCCCTTGCCTTTGGCAGGGTCTTCCTCATCATCCTCGCTGTCGACCCGCTGGACACCCAGCCGATTGAACTTGAGCTCGGTGGCCCCCTAGATCAGATAGTACAGTACGGGACATGCGTACATTTTGACCCAAGCAAGCAACAGCAACGGTTCAGTGAATAAGTCCGACGTAGCAATCATGTGTAGTGTTAATTATAAGCGTGAGCCAAGCTTCGGTTCCCTTTGTCTGTTCCAGTTCCTTCTCCTCCTCGTGGTCGTAGTCCTCCGACTCAGAGTCGACGTCTACCTTGTACTTCAAGAGCTTGCTGTTGTACTTGTCCTTCCTGTGGCAAACAGGTATGCGGAAGGTCAATTCTTCACAGCAATATATGCACTTTGTGAAACCGGAAGAACTGCAGTACACAAATTAAGTCACTGCTGCTCACAGCACAGACATATGTATAAATGTGTATATATATATATATATGCATATGTACTTGTATATAGACACACAAGCACGCACGTACATGCTGGACTCTCGCGCAATCCATGCTTCTGGGTGCTGAAGAAACTGTTTTCGCTGGCGAAACAACTCATGAATAGTAATCCGTTGAGGCCGGGACTTGATCAGCTTCTCGTTGCCTTTCTTTTCACAGAAGGCCACGACACCAGCAATGTATGTCCTTAAAACAGCTTAAGACTCGAAGACAACAGGCTAGAGAGCGTATGTGCTACTTGTGAGAGGTTCGTTCAGGCGAGAGTCTTGGACCAACCCAATTGCTTGGCCATGCTTTCCTTTGAGTGCCAGGCTCGCCTTCTGCGGCGACTCTGTCTCGTAAGTGTTTCTTTGCTTTTCGTGACAGTGGCTTGGAACTTCTTCTGGCGCAGGATACGTGTCAAATACACAGAGGAACACAGCCACGTGCACAGGTACGATAAGAAATGCAGAAAGATGGCTTTATGTAGACACACAAAAGGCAGCAATATGCCTTGTCGTAATTCAAGCTTTTCAGCAGAGTGAAAAGCTCCTTCCTCTCCGCCCCCCCTCGCATCCATTGTTGATGCACTTCCAATGGAACGTTAAGTTTCCCGCTCGGCTTCATCTCGCACAGTCTGCGAAGGACCTGGTCCTTTGCAGCCTGAGTGGATCGAAGCTTTGAGAGATTCTCTCAGGGGTGAAATTACGTAACTGGCAGGAACGAGACACACTTCATTGCAGCTCGAAAGGAAATTCTTAGGGCGGGGCCAAGAATGCCTCGTCCTGGTCAGCGTCTGCGTCTTCCGAGTCGGGGTCCTCTTCGATAATTGCTGCGGCTTTGGCTTTGGCTTTGGCTTTTGCTTTGCTGTCGGCCGTGGCAGGGGTCTCAGAGGGCTCTCGCTTGGACTTTGCTGAGGTCGGAGTGGGCAGTGATGGGATGCTTCTTGGGGTTGCAGTGGTCGAGGTGGGGCTGGTCGAGGGCAGGGCTGGCTGGCTGTTTGGGCACTTTTTCCTGGCTGCGGCTTCTGCTCGAGCAAGTTGTGCTTCTGCAAGCCTCACAGCCTGCAGAGTTGTGACGATATTGCAAGAACCATCAAGAATCCAGCACCACAGGATACACAATTGCTACTGTTACTGAGTGTACGTAGTTTACAGAGCACAATGCCCCGCCTCCCGAGCCTTCAAAACCCATGGTTCCGCCTCCTGCTCTTCTGCAACCAGAGGGACCTTGGCCTTCTTGGTGGGGGGAGCCTTTGGGGGGCTTTCTGTCTTGTCCGGGCTGGACTCAACCCGTCGGGGCTCTGGTGTGGCAAGCTCTTGCTTGACTGGTTTCGGTTTCGGAGGTGGGCTGCGAAGCTTGGTCTCGTCCGGCTGCTGTCGTTTGCTTGGTTCTGCTTTCGGTGCAGGTGGCTTTGGTGCCCTAGCCTTGACTGCAGTTTTCCGGCCCATCTTCAAAAGCTCATCCTCTGAAGCCTGCCGACAGATATTTAGAAGCTACCACGAATGAATGTCAGAACTGTGAACTTCTTGCACGAAGACACGACTTTGAGTGTAACACATTATTGGCATCCAGGTCACTGGCTGCGTCGCCACCTCCTCGGAGGCCTCTTCCTGCGTTGGTGTTGCTGGCATTTAACAGACCAGTCAACCTGTCCCACCACAGCAGTAGCAGCACACCAGCGTTACATAGAGGATGGTCCTGCTTAGAGAAACTAGCAGTGCGCTTTCTCTCCAGCATGGCGAGCTGCTTTTTGACTTCCTGCGAGTCACAGAACCCAAGTAGGTAGGTAGGTAGGTAGGTAGGTAGGTAGGTAGGTAGGTAGGTAGGTAGGCAGGTAGGTAGGTAGGCAGGTAGGTAGGTAGGTAGGTAGGTAGGTAGGTAGTAAAGGTAGGGTGGTAGGTAGGTGGCGAGCAGCCAATATTTCTAATATTGGGGACAGTGTGGGTCGAGATTTACATTTGTCAAGACAATTAAGAATCAAGAACATGAGCTCTACACACAGTCCTCAATCTCAGCATCCAGGTCACCTTCTTGAGTCGGTTCTGCTTTCACTCCCTGCAACATTTTCTTATTGGCTGCCGCCAGTGAGTTGCAACTCCACTGCCGCTGTGGAGCACGTTCAAGAGCCGCCTTCTTACCCATTCTGCTAAGCGGGCAACCTTTCCCAACAGGACACTTGGCTGATCTCGACGAAGGAAAGGAGCAGAACGAGGACCGAAGGCCATGTCACACACGTTTGCTGCACCACAAACACCGTGTTTCCGATGAACCACCACTATGCTAGATATGGGTTCCTGTGGATCTAACTTGATCGGTGCAAAAGTCTACCATAGTGCACAAGATCTACACTATTTTCGTAGTGGCTGAAAACCACCTAAACTACGGATTCTCTACGTAATTTCCTACGGGGTTTTACGGTTGTTCTACGCGGATTTACGGCCGTTCTACGGGTACGGGTTGGTGGGCCCCCCAGCCTACGTAGGGGCTACGTAGGCCTACGTAGGCATTACGTACCTGGTCCCTCTGGTGTATCCCAGTTGAAATTCTTTATGTTGAAAGTCTAAAAATAACTTGAGAAAACACAAACACCCACAATCCCTTCTATTTTGTTCAACAAACAACGGGTCTGTAATGCCCAAACAGAAGTCCTTCTCTTCCTGTGTATACTACTTGGATGGAACCAGGGAAGGGGAGAGGCTTTGCCAGGTTGAGGGTCGGGGCTGCCCCCTTTAAATTGTACTTACTGTAGAAGTCACCTGTGCCCCACCCCCTGGAATCCACCCTGAATCGGGCTCTCAGCGGCTCCGCCTGTATAACCTCACCAGGACCGAACAAGAAGAGCCCCAAACTTCCCACCAACAGAAGAAATCTATCGTATCTGCGCACATGGTCCCTAGCTCCCACGTATGGGTGAGTTTGTTCTGCGGGCTCGGACTTTCACGATGGCAGGCAGGCGCTCACGCAAAATCCTGGAACAAGTCTCTCCAGGCTACAGGCAAAGCTAGGTGTTTGTTGCCCAAAAGGTAAGCAACCACGTCTCTCATGCCCGCATCATCCCACATGTCTCCCCAGGCTGTGTCACGAAAGGTCTGAAGGGGGCATGAATGCCGGCGCTCAGGTGGTAGTTTGACTGGGTGATGCCGCTCGTTGATGAAGTCCGGAAACATCTGCAATAGCTTGACTCCAAATTTCGGAGGATAGTGCCTTGAATGGTTCAACATGGAATGTCCCAAGCATCGGGTTGCAGCTCTACGTAAAGTGTATTTTATACCTACATGAACCCATCTGTACTGAGGCATGAGCTGTGTGAGTTTGAGGTGTTTTGTACCCTTCCAGCATCGAACACCTTTGCTGTTAATGTAGGCCGTTGATGTAGCCGTGCCCGCAGTCCTTTTCATAGCCTTCATCGTCTTCCGGGACATTGCACCCATGTCAAGCTTCCCGACGATTTGGGCGTTCGAAAAACCCACATGCCTTTTCGGCGTCTTAGCACCATAGCATCCCATCCACCATCGAACTCTCCATACCTTACGACAAGTGTAAATGTCTTGTGGGTGAGAAGACCATGATTGCATCACTCAAGACTGAGCAAAAACATCAAAGACGAGTGTCCCGACCAAGAGCTCGAAACAACCACCGCATCCTGGGGTGAGCTGCCATGATAGACTGAGCTGGCTGTTCCAGGAGCCAGGCAGCTCCGTGGCAAGATGCGAGAGCGATGAGCAGTGCCGTCCTTGGCGGGAGGTTCAGTTTTGTAAAGAGAGAGAGAGAGAGAGATATATGTAAACCTAAATGTAGACCATGCAAGCACTACAGAGGTTGCAATTCGGGGTCCCCAATTACCCTAGACGATTCGCTACATCTACGAAAACGGCCCACCAGCATAGTATCCGGGCGTGCAGCAGAAGTTTTCGGACCAGAACCCCAAACCATGAGATTCGGTTAAGGAGTAGGATACTGACCGCCCCAAGAGTTCCCTCGAAGTCCTAGTCACCCACGGGCACGTAAACTTCATTGGACCCACGATGTGGCTGCAGACCACAGAAGAAGTGTTTGTCTTGAAGCACATTAGTTATAGGGGTGGTGTTAGATATTTAGTTTGAGCAACACAGGCTTCTGGGTTGTCTTTGTTGTAGGATAGTGGCAATGCCTTTTGAGTGTGACTTTTGCCTTTACCCTGACTTATAGTGAGTCGTGTGAGTAGTGGCTTCTGACAATTGAGGCAGCTAGTGTGACTACCAAACTGTATAAACACTTCGCAAACCCTATAAACCCCTATACTGATACTCCTACTGGCGCAAGCCTTCAAACCCTGAACCCCCCCCCAAAAA